CATGAATTTTTTTGGTGGAAGATTCCGTATTTTATCAAAAATTTTTATTTTCCGCACTGTGCAAAAAAATAAAAAAAAGTTTTTTTTTGCATTGAAAGACGAAACATTTTTTTTTTTATTTTAGGACACCAATAGCTCTGATATAACCACTTTTTTCATACACAATTTTGAAACCGTGGCTTCATGGCGTCGTATTTTACAAAATTTTTCTTCTTTGCACTGTGCAACTATACAACAAGTAAAACAAAATTTTGAAATATCAAAATTCAAGATTCAATAATCTTACCAATTAACTGAAAAAAGAATTTATTTGAAGTGCCGCAGCACTTTAAAAAAATATTTCTTTGTGCACCGTGCAAAAAAAATAAATTTAATTTTCTTCTCACGGCGTCTGAGTAAAAAATTATAAAATATTTTTTTTCTACCCTACCACACATTGAATAAGAATTGTTTTCATAAAAATGATATTGCTATAGCTGATCCGTATTTTACCCAACTATTTTGTTTTTGCACTGTGCAGATCCAAAAAAAAATTTTTTTTTGCACAGTGCAGCAATAAAAAAATTAGTCAATTTTCGATTGCCATAATTTTAGACACCCCATTTCGTCTTTTTCATTAACAATTTTCCAAAATTTTGCAATTGCACAGTGCGAAAATCCCAGAACTTTCACCGCACAGTGCAGTTTCCGAAAAAATTCCCATTGCACCGTGCAAAAATTTCAAAACTACAATTTCCAGTAAAAAATAAGCCCATTACTACCTTTCCGAGCCCTAAATCATCGCGAAAAGCGACAGATTTCCCGCAGAAACCAATCGGCTTTTTTGCGTTGCACTGTGCGCAAACCTATTCCATTTTCCGCACTAATAACTATAAGGCAGGTGTGCGATTACCCGCGCAACGAATGGCTATTGTAGTCGGGGTGGGCTCGAGGGGTTTTTATGGCAATTTCCGGGGGATTTGGAAATACTGCCTTAGGGTAATTAGGAAAAAATTTAAAAAAATTTTTTTTAATTTTTTGATTTTTGAGAATGGAAATGAATTTTCAGGTGAGAAAAGGAAAATAAAAAGTATAAAAAACTATTTTGCCTCAGGCAAAATTCGGAAAATTCATAAAAATTAAATTTTTTGTCCAAAAAATCAAATTTTAGGTCAAAAAAGGTGAAAAATAGAGAATTTTTGAATTTTGCCCTAAGGGAAATAGCGCAAATTTATTAAAAATTCAATTTTGATCTCTTTTATAGTTGATATTGGTCCTTAAAAGAGAGTTTTTTACAGATTGAAGCTTCTCATAACAAGGGCCGGACATTTCGAAAAAACGACCAACTTAGAATCTTTCGATATTTTGCATAGTTGTTGTACTATGATAGCTGAACGTCAGTACGAATTTTTAGTTTCTGAAATTACCGTATACGGGGGTTACGGTAGGTACAATTTTTAGAAAGATTGGGTTCGTGTGTAAAAACCCCGAGGAGTAAAAGCACAAAACCTCGCTGTTTTACGTTTTTGACCATGGGGAACATTTTCATAATTGACAACTTTACCGTAGGATGTTGCCTTCGACTACATTGAAAAATACCAAGGTACCATATTGAATGTAACTTTTTTGCAGAGAACTTGTCTCAACTTTTGAAACCTCTCAAAAATACCTTGACATAGGTGTAACAACATATCAAAAATGCGCGAAAATAAAAGGGGTGGTTTTGGAGTTACGGTACTTTGAAGGCAGCCGGTACCGTATATCAAAAAATAATTTTTTTCAAAATCGGTGTAGAAGAGCAGCAAATCATGCCAAAATACGTTTTCGACCATGGAGAACTTTTTTGTAATTAACACTTTTTCTGTAGGATGTCATCTTCGACTACTTGGAAAATGACCAAGGTACCATGGTCAATATAACTTTTCGGCATTCTACTTGTCTCAACTTTTGAAACCTCTCAAAAATACTTTGACATGTATGTAACAACATATCAAAAATTTAGAAAAATAAAAGGGGTGGTTTTGGAGTTATGGCACTTTGAATGTGGCCGGTACCGTACATCAAAATTTCCTTTTTTCTAAACTTGACGTAGAAAACCCGCAAACCTTGCCAAAATACGTTTTCGACCCTCGCGAACATTTTTGTAATTGACACTTTTTTTGTACGATGCAGTCTTCAACCGGTATGAGAAATATCAAGATACCATGTTCAATATAACTTTTCGGCATTTTACTTGTCTCAACTTCTGAAACCTTTCAAAGACACCTTGACATATGTGTAACAACATATCAAAAATTTAGAAAAATAAAAAGGGTGGTTTTGGAGTTATGGTACTTTTAATCTTGATCATACAGTACACCAAACTTTTGTTGTGCTGCTGACATCCGAATTTGGAAGATTCCACCGTCGTATGACATACACGAGTCTAAACCGTGGTAATCGTTGCAAAAAAAAATAAGAAATCGCTGATCTTGCTGTTACAGTAACCAATTATATGCGCACGATATGTTACAGTACGCTTAGGCCTAATTTTTCTGAATTTCCTAGTGAAAATAGTTTCTGAGGGTCGTGCAACATACATAAAACATTACATCTTGTTTTTAAAATAATCTGCGTAAAGTTTAGCCGAGAATAAATCTAGGTGTACTGTATGTCCAACATTCAAAGTGCCATAACTCCAAAACCACCCCTTTTATTTTTCTAAATTTTTGATATGTTGTTACACATATATCAAGGTGTCTTTGAAAGGTTTCAAAAGTTGAGACAAGTAAAATGCCGAAAAGTTATATTGAACATGGTATCTTGATATTTCTCATACCGGTTGAAGACTGCATCGTACAAAAAAAGTGTCAATTACAAAAATGTTCGCGAGGGTCGAAAACGTATTTTGGCAAGGTTTGCGGGTTTTCTACGTCAAGTTTAGAAAAAAGGAAATTTTGATGTACGGTACCGGCCACATTCAAAGTGCCATAACTCCAAAACCACCCCTTTTATTTTTCTAAATTTTTGATATGTTGTTACATATATGTCAAAGTATTTTTGAGAGGTTTCAAAAGTTGAGACAAGTAGAATGCCGAAAAGTTATATTGACCATGGTACCTTGGTCATTTTCCAAGTAGTCGAAGATGACATCCTACAGAAAAAGTGTTAATTACAAAAATGTTCTCCATGGTCGAAAACGTATTTTGGCATGATTTGCTGCTCTTCTACACCGATCTTGAAAAAAATTATTTTTTGATATACGGTAACGGCTGCCTTCAAAGTACCGTAACTCCAAAACCACCCCTTTTATTTTCGCGCATTTTTGATATGTTGTTACACCTATGTCAAAGTATTTTTGAGAGGTTTCAAAAGTTGAGACAAGTTCTCTGCAAAAAAGTTACATTCAATATGGTACCTTGGTATTTTTCAATGTAGTCGAAGGCAACATCCTACGGTAAAGTTGTCAATTATGAAAATGTTCCCCATGGTCAAAAACGTAAAACAGCGAGGTTTTGTGCTTTTACTCCTCGGGGTTTTTACACACGAACCCAATCTTTCTAAAAATTGTACCTACCGTAACCCCCGTATACGGTAATTTCAGAAACTAAAAATTCGCGCTGACGTTCAGCTATCATAGTACAACAACTATGCAAAATATCAAACGATTCTGAGTTGGTCGTTTTTTCGAAATGTCCGGGCCATCCTTCGAGTTGTAAAAAACTCTCTTTTAAATCCATAAAAATCCATAAAATTCTACAAAATCATCAAATTTTGCCTGAGGCAAAACTAAAAAAATTCTGTTAAAACTTAATTTATATCTCCAAAAATACAGACGAAAAATTTTTTTCGGCATTTTACCATCAAAAACCATATTTTTACCACTTAAAATTGGGAAAAAAAACAAAAAATTTCAAAACGAAAATTTTTTTTAATTTTCGAAAGATTTTCAGAAAAAGAAAGAACCCAAAGGTCCGAAGACGCATAACGGCCCCCGATTAGTCACAGTGACACCGATGGCTTTTCTCTTTTCATAAATGGCGAGGCTATTCACAGATTTTTGGAGGCCACGCGACAAAAAATGACTAAAATTTTGATGAAAGAAAAGGAGAACTGTTCGAAGGTGATACTGTAATGTCATTGGTGAGGCTATTTGAAAATAAAAAAACCAATTTTTTATAGAAAAAATGAAAAAATTTTAGGGATTTTTGAAAAAAATACTTTATTTTAGGTGAAAATGGGGGAAATCCAGGTGAAAATAGGGCAACCATGCCGAATAAGGTATTATTATAGTATTTTTTAAGGCTTTTTAGAGACTCTAGAGACTGAAAAAGCTATTTTTATAAAGAAAATTGAAAAAATTTTCCATTTTTTGCCAAAATTTACCTTATTTTAGGCGAAAATTGCCCAAATTTTGATAAAAAATGACAAAATTAGTCAAAATAACTCTCTATTTTACTATTTTCAACTCTTTCCTCAAGTTATTTCAACATTTTTTCCCAATTTTTTATCGCACAGTGCAATAAAAATTCGAATTTTCGCCTGCACTGTGCGGTTTCCCAATTTCCCACCGCACTGTGCAGTCAAAAAAAGTGGATTGCTTCTTTTTTGCACTGTGCAAAAAAATATTTTTCATCAAAAAATTTTCGCTTTTCTCCGTCGAAAAATTAATTTTAATATGCAAATTGGGCATGAACGAACGAAAATTAGGGGAAAATGCGGCGCGAAGACGCGCCAATGTGTCAATAAAATGGCAAAAAGAGAAGCGCCGCGGGTCCGTTGATCGGATCAGCGATTTGCGCCGATTTTCCGAAAACGGAGCGACAAAATCTGATCGTTTCGGGCGCTGCGGATACAAAATCTCGTGGATTGTGAATATTCTTGGATCAAAATTCCAAAATTTTTCGTCATTGCACTGTGCAGACACAAAATTTAATCTGCACGGTGCAAAAAATTGAAAAAAATTGTCGCACTGTGCAATAAAAGTTTATTTTCAAAAAATTTTTGTTTCATCAAATAGATTCGGATGTTGACATTTATTTCTATTTACGGCCAGATTTGACTCGTTTGAAGGGCTTTCCATTCACCGAAAGCGTTCGAGGCTCAAAATTCGGAAGTTCTCCGACCACGTGATGATGACGCAACTCGTTCTTTTGATCAAAAACATCGAGGGAAACTTCGAAGACGGCTCCAGCTGAGGCTCTGGTCACCTGAAAAGGCCAAAGTTTAAAATATTTGGGAGATTTTGTCTAGTATAATATAATTGATCCTAAAGCTCGCAATATCTCCAATATTTCTCTAAAACGCAATCTGAAATTTTTTTACAAGCTATATAGAGACTGTATCTTCTATTTATCGTTTTTAGGCACAATTTAAAACCGTAAAAATTCAAAAATTAACTTTCCCGCCATTTTTGGCATTCTGTTTTAGGTGAAAAAAGCCGGAATTTATGGCTCAAAAAAGTCACTAGATATCAAATCAGCAGTCTACAGAGCTTTATTTTCACCTTTTTCACAGCTATGAATTCAAAAATTGACTTTTCCGCCATTTTTGGCATTCTGTTCTAGCTGCTAAAAAATGGCATTTATGCCTTGCAAAAACCTCCAAATGTCAAATCAGTAACCTATAGAGCTTTATTTCAACCTATTTCACAGTTATAAATTCAAAAATCGACTTTCCCGCCATTTTTGGCATTCTGTCTCCTGCTGTAAAAACTACAATTTCAACAATAAATCCGCAATTAAATGATAAAATACGCCTTCAAAATTAGTTAGAAAAGTCATCAAAATATATATATTTCTCTTTAGTTCCTTACTTCCCCCATCTCCAATCTACTACAGTATAACCTTACTTTAGCTGATGGAATAATCGTAAAGTCGACATTGTTCTTCGCCTCCACAATACTCGATTCGTCAGTCGGAGTGCGGCTTCTAATCGACGAAACTGACCGTTTGGCTTTGCCAGTTTTAGCCTTCTTGTGGTCCTTGAGGCTTCCGAACATCTCGTATTTTGGTTTGATGCGGGGCATTTTATGATTCGACCGCCTGTCCGCCAATCTGGCCGGTGGCTTTGCTTTGGGAGTGGATTTGGCAACAGCACTCGTCTAAAAATAGCGGAAATCTGAGATTTTTGGTGTTATATGTCATGGTTAATATAATTAGTCAAAAAATGATAAAATATTTGTTACAGTGAACAGCGGAATGGTATGATTGTATGTTATATGGGCCAAAAAATACGTTCAGAAAGAAAAATCATTTTGAAAAGATAAGATTTGAGACCTTTTCATCAAGCGTCATGAATAATATAATTAGCAAATAACTAATAAAACTATCGTCTCATAAGCCTTTCCATGGCTGAGAAAAGTCATAAACAGTATAATACTACTATATACAAGTAAAAAAGTTGATTTTAAATTTTTAATTAATCAGACATCGAAGAAAAAATTGTTATGGGTAATATAAAAAAAGCTATTTTTGCCCAAAAAATTTTAAAAAAGCGCAATATCCCTTCCAAAAAAACAAAAAAAAACAACTCATACCTTAACCCACGCCTTGCATGGAGAAGTCGGAGACGTCGCCGAAGACTCATTTTCAAGTGTTTCCGGGCTCCGAGAAATGGCAGTATCCGAGTCGGAACAGACCGAGCGGAGGTCGGAAAGGCTGACTCGGTCGTCCAAAAATTTGGTGGATTCCTGAGAAAAATGTGTTAAAAAAGGGGTTTACCACTTTATTCTTTAAATTTTAACTTTTTTGTTCAAAAATCCCGAATTTAAAGGGGTGAAACAGAATGCCAAAGTTGGCGGGAAATTTGAATTTTTGGGGCCTAATTTGTATCTAAGGTCATCTAAATGATCTTATTGTGTGTTAGAGAGAGTTTAACATTGGCTTTAGTCTTTCTCGACCCCTAAAGCAGTCTAAAACACAATGCCAAATTTGGCGGGAAATTTAAATTCTGGATTTCAAAATTGCCGTGATACTATCTAAGAGGGATTATGAGGTCCAAACAGTAATTTTCTTTTCCCATTTGTCATTTTGATGTTATAAAACCTCTCTGAAACACAATGCCAATTCTGGCGGGAAAACATAATTTCAAAAATTTTTGCCGCAATTCGGTAAAATCGGCACGAAGATTAATAAAACTAGTAAGAAAGAGTTATAAACTTTACTTTTTTCAAGTTTTCCAACTGTTTTTCCACTTCTTTTTGTTGATATTCCTCGTATCTCGGTTCGACAAAAACCTCTCGAACTTCGATCCGGCCCGGATAAATAACTTGACCACACGATTTCTTACAACACGAAGGGGTCTTGACTTGAATTGTCGCGATCGCAGAGTCCGTTAACCTTTTCTTTCCTTTAGGAATCTTCTTTATTGCCGGTTTTGGAGAAGTTTGAGTGGCCTCTTCCTTCTTTACAATCGTTTTGATTTCGATCTTTGGCTCCGGAGCCTTTGGTTTCTCCTTTTCCATCAATTTCAGCTTTTCCACGACGGCATTAGCGACCTTTTCCACGTCCAATTCCGGTCTCTCCTTATCCTTCTTGTTGTCCTTCAGTTTGGCCCAATTTTTCTTTGCCCTTTTTTGGTCTAAAAGTAAAAGGAAATAATTCTAAATATAAGTTATCATAACGAGAACTAACCAATCCGTATTTTACCTATAAATCCCCATTTTTTTATTCTGCAGGCTGCGGGACCATTTTATACGAAGGTCCTAAACATAAGAAGAAGATGTATAATTATACTCAAAATAATTTTGGCATTCCCCACAGAAGCCAAAAATTCATTATTAAAAAATTCAAGGGCTTCTTTGGCTTCAGTACCATTTTATACGACGAAATATGCCTGGCCTTGCCATTAACCCCAGATTTTAAAAAGTCATAATTATGACATCCTGACAGTCCTAAAATTACATACATTGTCCTATTACACTATTCTTTTCTCGCTATCCCTCCAAAAAGACCCATTTTATACGTTAAAAGGTGTCCGAGCTGCGCCCTAAACTAACCCAAAAGTCATAGAAAATAACCGAAAAAACGCTCAAACACTCACCATGCGCCAATTCAGTGATTCTGCCTTCGTAGCTCTCCTGCTTTGGACTCTGAATTCCGAGGACCTTATCTATGGCGACATGAATCGCCTCTGCGACTCGGTCTCCAACCTCCGTTTGAGCCCGTTGAATCAGTTCCGGATCGACGTTGGAGAGCACAGAGGGCTTCTCAATCAATTCCGTCACCTCATGAGATAAGCTGGCAGGCGAAGTGGTCTAAAAACCAAACAAATATCAAAAAACATTGTTTTAGCCCAAAAAATCCACTTTTCCTCCTAAAAGCGCCACAGGCAGTTTATTAAAATCTCACCGGTGTGCTTGTAACGACCAGTCGTTCTCTTGTGGAGTCAAAAGTTGTCAAATTTCGACGAGCTCGAACGATTTCACCCGTTTTTTCTCTCTTTTTCGGGGCTCCATTTGTGCCCTCAATTTTTTGAAAATTATTGCCCTGAGGGTTTCGAATTTGCACCGCGCAGCTTTGTTCGGCCTTGCATCGGAGATTGCGATAGGGCGTTTTGAACTTTTCGATGTGTTTCGGATCAACAACGATGGAGGGAACAGTTGACGCGGGACAAGATGTAACAAGTGCCGATTCGTTCGCCGGCTGAGGAGCTGCTGCAATAAAATTTGGGTAAAATACGAAAACGAAAAATAACATCTCATTTTTGAAAAAAATTTTTGGAATTTACCGTTTTTTTACGAAAAACTCGATTTTATTTTTTAAACTTAAAAGTGTAATATCTCAATAACTACTGTAAGATACGATCTGAGATTTTCACAGGTGTCATAAAATCTCATTTTCTTGATTTTTCACAATTTTTAGCCAAATCCTACGATTTTCAAACCATTTTCAGACGAATAAACAGAATGCCAAAAATTCCGGGAATTTTGAATTTTTTAAATTTAAACCCGCTAAAATCGCAAAATTAGAGTAGTTATAAAAAAGTAGAGTATTTTTAAGTTGCAAAACCATTCTTACGACGATTTTTATGTTCCTTTTGGGGAACATCTGGCTCTTTTTGTCTCTGCACGTCTTCTGTCTGCATTTTTGTCGATTTCTCCGGCTTCTGCTGGGTTCTGAGGATCCGTTCGGCCTTGTTGAGCTCGTTACCTCTCTAGAAAAGCATAAGAATTAGAGTTTAAGAAAGAAATCGATTTTTTCGACAACTTTTTACCTTATAATATACCGCCAGAGCATTTCGGATCACAGAATCGGTCATTTCGAAGGGTGGTTGACTGATCACAACGTCTCTCGAAATCTAACGACCTCTTTTGGTGGGATGGTTTTGAAGGAAATGAGGGGAAAATTCGAAATCGAAAAAAGGTGGGAAAATGAAAAATTTGGGTAATTTTGAAAAAAATGACAAAAAATTTGTTTTTGATGACAAGAAACGTCATTTTAGAAGTCAATACTCAAAAAATGCACAGTGCAGGCCAAAGCTTTTTTCCACTGTGCAAAACAAAAAAATTTTGTTTCGCACAGTGCAGTTTGAATAAAATCTTTTTTGCACTTTGCAAAGCAAAAAAATCTTTTGAAAACTTGCACAGTGCGGTCAAAATTTGGCATCGCAGATCTCACAAGCCAAATTTTATCGCCAATTTTTGAGTGCACAGTGCAAAACACAAAACGTGGCTTTGCACGGTGCGGTTTTTGAAATATTTTTTTTCGCACTGTGCAAAGCAAAAAAATTTTTAGAAAAGTTGCACAGTGCGGTCAAAATTTTACATTGCAAATCTGACAAGCCAAATTCGGTTGCCAATTTTTGAGTGCACAGTGCAAAACAAATTTTTTTTTTTCATTGCACCGTGCAACAAATATTTTTTTGTCCGCACAGTGCAGTCTCCAAGAACTCATCAAAAAGGTCATTTAATAGTAAAATAAAAATAAAACCCGCATCCAAGGTTGCAAAATAATCCAGTTTATTGCAATCTCCCTGCAGAAAATTTTAAAAATCACAAAAATCAAAAAAAAAAAAATTTTTTGAAAAAAATCAATTTTTTCAAGTTGATGACCTTGATTTAAATCCCACGCTATTTTGAATCGTCGTTGGGACCCTTGAAGTGCTGAAGACCTTGTTCAGCCTCAATATTTTGCAGTGGCCAAGTGTTCGAAGCAATTCTCGCCTCAAATTATCGTTGAAAAGCCAATAAACCACACCAGCCGAGCCTCCGGTGATCATGTAGAAGGCGTGCCCGACCAGGCTCACCCATTCAGGAGCCGCAAAAAACTAAAATACGGACTTTGAAGTGTTACTTTTATATGTACAAACTTTTACGTTTTTGGACCCGTTATAGAAATTATTTATAATAATTCAGTGGGGAAAACGGTTTGTTTAGAGGCAGGGTAGTTACTCGATGTACTAAAAAATGCAAAGCAAGGGTGCAGCCTCATTTATCAAAGAACGCAATTGTTTTCCTAGCCCTTCTCAGAAATGGATGATTTTAAAGAATGTCAATTATTTGCCTGGAGGACATGTCGTCAGTTAAAATTTCTATGCTACTCATAAGTGTAAGAAATGGCGGTTTCAACGGTACCGAACATTAAGGGGTACATTCATTTACGCCTTCGCAATGAGGCTTTAATTTTCAGACCCAAAAATACACAAGACTTATGGGACACCCTAATAATAAATTCTCGCACAGTGCAGTCAAAAAAATTTTTTTCTCGGTGTAATAAACAAATTGGGTAAAAAACATACCTGCATGTAATCGTAGATGCCTGCGGCGATTGTGAATGGAGCACACACCAAAATGGTTTGGATTACGAACTAAAATACGGTATTTTTGAAAAAAAAAATTTTTCAAAAATTCTCACTTTATTTTTGGTCTTGCTTTTTTTGGCTTTCCCCCTCAAAATGTACAAACAAAGCCATACATATAACAGCGACATGATAATAATAACCGCCACATTGTTCACAACATGGGTGTAATTCACAAAATGATGACGTTTCTCGATGGGCGCCCCCAAAAACGGATCGTAAAATCCGGCGGCATAGCGGCTGTGGTAGAAGATGGGCGTCTCAAACCAAGCCACGAGAAAAATGTAGAGGAAAGCGAGAGAAATCCAGATCCAGGTCCGCCAGCCGTCGAAGAGGAGCTCGTGGAGGTGATGATAATAGATGTCAAGACATCGATTTACTGCGAGGATAACGCAGAGAAGGCAGCTGCCACACCAGGAGCCTAAAAATTATTTTTCGTTTGCGAGAAAACCGAAAAAATTGTAAATTTTGGGCAAAAAATGGCCGCACTGTGCGAAAAAGAAAAAGGAAAAATTCGCACAGTGCAATTTAAAAAATGCGTTTTCAACTGCACAGTGCAAAGCAAGAGAAAAAAAAATATAATTTTTCCGCACAGTGCAAAGAAAAAATATGTTTTCAGCCGCACGGTGCAATACAAAAAATATTTTTTGAACCGCACAGTGCAATTTTAAAAACATTTTTCGAAACGCACAGTGCTGAGAAAAGATATGTTTTCATCCGCACAGTGCAAATCAAAAATTTTCTGAACCGCACAGTGCAGTCAAAAAGTGTTTTCAGCTGCACAGTGCGAAGCAAAAAATAAAATTTGTCGCGTAAAAAAACGTTCCCATGCACCGTGCATGCCACTCGACTTGAAACTTTTGCTTGCACCGTGCGAAAACATAAATTGTTGGCTGCACTGTGCAAATCAGTCTTTATTTTCGATGTTTTGACTGCACTGTGCAAAATGGATTTTCCTTCAATTGCTCGCACAGTGCAACAAACATTCGCCGCAGATTTTCACTGCACAGTGCAATGAAGTCTTTCTTCAATTTTTCGCACCGTGCGAAGCAAAACTTTATGCTTCGCACAGTGCAAACTACACAAAATAAAAAAAAATTGTTCTCTTACTCATTCCAGCCACTCCAATCACATAAATAAACCGTGGCATCATGCAGAAGACCCCGCCAACAAAGGCCACGTATCCACCGAGACCGACGGCAATTATTATAGTCAAGGCATCAATAAACCCCAAACAAAACATGATTTTATAACAGGAGAGCTCGAAGAATCTCCTCTTGGTCATTATCACAACAAATGGCATGTAAATTATCTGAAAATTATTGCATTTGACCAAGCGTTGGAAATTCATGGAAGTTTGCGCAGTAAAAACGAAATTTTTACGCCTTGCACTGTGCGGCGGAAAGAATTTGGCGACAGAAAAAAAACATAAATACCGCACGGTGCAAAGTTTAAAAAGTCATTGCACAGTGCGCAAATATTTTTTGCACTGTACAAAACAAAGCCTCAAAGCCTCAGTCTGCACGGTGCAATTTTTTTTATCTTTTGTCGCGACCGCACTGTGCAAATCACCTATTTTTTGCTGCACAGTGCAGGATTTTGTCACTCTTTTTCGATCGCACTGTGCATATTCTTGTTTTCCTGCACTGTGCAAAACAAAGTTTCAGACTGCACAGTGCAAATTTTGATGATCTTTTGTCGCAACTGCACTGTGCAAAGTAACATTTTAGACTGCACAGTGCAAATTTTTTTGATCATTTGTCGCGACCGCACTGTGCAAATCGCCTATTTTGCGCTGCACAATGCAAAAGTGCTTCTTGGTTTGCACAGTGCAAAAATAAAAAATTTCGCACGGTGCAAGATTTTTTTGTTGTTTTTCGATCGCACTGTGCATAGTCTTGTTTCTGTGCACTGTGCAAAGTAACATTTTAGACTGCACAGTGCAAATTTTGTTGATCATTTGTCGCGACCGCACTGTGCAAATCGCCCGTTTTGCGCTGCACAGTGCAAAATTTTCTCATTCTTTTACGAAAGCACTGTGCAAAATACAAAAAAATTTTTGCACGGTGCAAGCAAAATTGTTAAGATTGGCATTAAAAATTGCGAACTTACAGCAAAAGCACCTCCAAGAATCCCCAAAAATATGGCCAAAACAGGGCGTTCCAGACCGACCTTTCGCCATTCCTCCTGCGTCAATTGTGAGCAATTATAGAGGTCCGCGTAGACGTCTGGCTTGAAGAAATACACCTCCATTCCTGGACTTTAAAATGAGGGCGATGTAATTTAGAGGCGCGTTTTATATGGCATAACAATTTAATTGGTTAAACATCTAATTACAGTGCAATTTTAGCATTAAAGTACCAAAACAAAGGCCAATGAACGGTCAATAAATGATGGAAATTTTGATAGTGTACTAGTTGCGCCATAAAGTCCGTAGAGAGCAGGGTAATTCAGAACCACGAGGTAAGTTTTTGCCTCATTGTCAGTCGCGTATTATTATTTTCATAAAGTGCATGGATAATTTTTCACTCTCGCACAGTGCTCCCCAATTTCTTTCCCACGCTTGCCGCCAACGCACAGTGCAAACCACAAAAAAAAGCCGTTTGCATTGTGCAAAATTCTTCAGCAAAACCGCGGTGGTGTAGTTGAGAAAAGCTTACGTCGCAGCGATATTTCAAATGCACAGTGCAAAACCAAAAAAAGGCCAACGCACGGTGCAAAAAATCGCGGGCGTTTGTGCACAGTGCGCGCAGCGACAAAAGTCCAGGCACTTTGTGGAGGAATCCTTCGATTGCGACCCCGCTCGATTGCGACCTCGCATCGATTGCGACCCCGCATCGATTGCGACCCAAAATGGGGTAAAGCGACCCCGGGATGAAAATTCTTTGATTCTCTTCGGGAAAAACTTGCTTTAGGGGTTTTCGAGGGTGCTGATTTCGAAAATGATGTTCATTTTTCCTCTAGTACTACATAGTGTTGTCTGGTACTATATAGTACGAAGTGAAAATATGGCTTTTGACGTTAATGGTGTTGGTTTGATGCTTAGTACTCTTCAAAAACACGTTTTAAAGACTTGGTGCTATATAGTACTATCTGATACTATGTAGTACGACGTGTAAAGTTGGCCTTTAGGCGTTCGTGGTGTTGTTCTGGTGCTTAGTAAGCCTATTTTTACTTCGTACTATATAGTATCAGACAGTACTATATAGCACCAAGTCTTTAAAACGTGTTTTTGAAGAGTACTAAGCATCAAACCAACACCATTAACGTCAAAAGCCATATTTTGACTTCGTACTATATAGTATCAGACAGTACTATGTAGTACTAGAGGAAAAATGAACATCGTTTTCGAAATAAGCACCCTCGAAAACCCCTAAATCGAGTATTTAACGTCAAAAGCCATATTTTCACTTCGTACTATATAGTACCAGACAACACTATGTAGTACTAGAGGAAAAATGAACATCATTTTCGAAATCAGCACCCTCGAAAACCCCTAAAGCAAGTTTTTCCCGAAGAGAATCAAAGAATTTTCATCCCGGGGTCGCTTTACCCCATTTTGGGTCGCAATCGATGCTGGGTCGCAATCGATGCGGGGTCGCAATCGATGGAATTCCTTTGTGGAAATGCTAATATTTGTCGTTCCAGAAAGTGCGTAGACTTTTTTCCGTGGACCGTGCCGTGCACAAACAGGGGTAAACTGCCCAGTGCATTTGATTTTTCAAACAAAATCGTTGCGATACAAGCGTTGAAATTTGAAACAACTGCACGGGGCAAAAATGTTTCGAAAGGGGTTAGGTCGCGCGAAATGCACAATGCAAAAAGTATACTCGCTTTATGAAAATGTAAATAGTCAGTCCGGAAAGTCATCGGACATAAAAATGCGACAGCCCAAAAATGCCATTTGCACGGTGCAAAAAGCAAGAATATTGCACAGTGGAAAGTAAAATTTTATTTCCGCACAGTGCAAGTCGCCGAAATCAGTCCGGCGACTTTGGGGATCGCCTAATAGACCGTCTACTCTACGTACATGCTAATAACGGCCTTTCTAAAATGTTAACCAAAAGCTACATCGCCAGCTGAAAGAGAAATGCCATTCCAAAAATTAAGAGCCCGTCCACAGTGCGGAGAAAAAACAAATTCTTATAAAAATGATTATATAACACCAAAAACCAAGTAAATAATAGCGGTATAGTGGTTATAAAATAGGAAAAAAGTAACATGTTTATGGGCCTACAGGCAGAGCATATTGCAATAAGAAATTAGTGACTAATCTGATCACAATGACAGCTGCAAAACAACCATTTCAGCCCGAATTGGCCAATTTATATTCCCAGTCAACACTATTATGAGTTCATGTTGAAATTTTCCACTTCCTTAGTACCAATTAATTTGCGGAAATTGCGATTTTCGGAAAAGTTTCAGGCAAAAAATTGGTTTATAATAACAAAATAAGCAAAAAATCTGAGAACTATGTTGCCAGACATGCATAAAATTTTTTTCTGTACGTGAATTATGGTCTGTCCAAATTTTCCTGCAAAATTTTGGTCAGAAATTCAAAGAAATACCAAAAAATCGTCATGGATAATATAAAAATGCTCCGTAATTTAACTGCAGATGATGATTATTCATTCCGGGCCATATTTTACTTGTATTTTTGTTATTTCCACCCTTCTATTTGCACTTTTACAGCCTTAGAACAGAATGCCAAAAATGGCGGGAAAACCAAAATTTGAATTTTTTTCGAATTTTTTGATTTTTTATGGTATTTTTGGGACTATAATAAAAGAAAGACTTTTAAAATACGAACCAAAAATCTTTTTATTTTACTTTTGCAAAGAAAAACGGCAAAAAGTCAACTTTTTCACAAAAAATCCAAATTTTTTATGCCCAGGATCCCGGCCGATGTCCAGTTTGGCTACTCAGCTGCGTCCCATTAGGTCTCGAGCTCATGAACACCTTGCTCAGCCGCAGAAACTTGCATCGAGCCAGAATTCGAAGCAGTTCTCGTCTCAGATTGTCGTTGAAAAGCCAATAAACAAGTCCAGCTGACCCTCCGGTGATCATATAAAAGGCGTGTCCGACCAGGCTAACCCATTCCGGAGGAGAGAAAAACTAAAATACGATTTTTTATTCAAGTTTTGTTTTTAACTGCACTGTGCAATCTCGAAATCAAATTGCACTGTGCAAAATAAAGCCGACTTTCGCACTGCGCAAACGGCTGCACAGTGCGGTACAAAAGTAAAATTGCACCGTGCGAAATAAAGTCGATTGCACTGTGCGAAAAGCCGAAATCAAAACTTCCGTCTGCACTGTGCGTTTCATGCCGAGTGTTGCGAAATGCAAACAGAGCAAAGGAGAGCGACAAAAAATTTTGTTCCCAGGGAAGCAGCGACAAAAAAGGATTGCACTGTGCAAAGGGTTGCACAGTGCAGTCCAAAAGTCAAATTGCACTGTGCAAAATACTAGTCGGGACAAAAAGTCCTGATAATTTTGCACCGTGCGGATTTTGCGCGGTTTCTGTCGCACTCTGAAAAAACGATTTGTCGCTTCGAAAAATGGGAATCGCGCGCGACAATAAGGCAAAAACAAACAAAATGCACTGTGCAATTGCACTTTTCGGGTCAAATGCACCGTGCAAAGCACCTTTTTTCGCGATTTTCGCAGCGACAACCCAAAACGTTCAAATCCGCACAGTGCAAAATTATCAGGACTTTTTGTCCCGACTAGTATCAGTCGGCGCAAAAAGTCTTTGGAATTTTTCGCGGCCCCCAAATCCCGTCGCACTCCGAAATGTCGATTTGTCGCTGAGAAAAGTGGGAATCGCGCGCGACAATAAGGCAAAATCAACAAAATTGCACAGTGCAAAAGCACTTTTCGGGCCGGATGCACGGTGCAAAATGTGTTTTCGGGTTCGCGCACAGTGCAGAGTCGCAGAAAATTCCAAAGACTTTTTGCGGCGACTAGTACTAGTCGGGACAAAAAGTCCTGATAATTTTGCACCGTGCGGATTTTGCGCGGTTTTTGTCGCACTCTGAAAAAACGATTTGTCGCTCCGAAAAATGGGGAATCGCGCGCGACGTAAGGCAAAAACAAACAAAAATGCACTGTGCAAATGCACTTTTCGGGGGAAATGCACCGTGCAAAACACATTTTTTCGCGATTTTCGCAGCGACAACCCAAAACGTTCAAATCCGCACGGTGCAAAATTATCAGGACTTTTTGTCCCGGCTAGTAAAGTCGAATTGCACTGTGCAGAGGGCTGCACAGTGCAGTGAAATTCAAAACTTCCGCCCGCACGGTGCATTTCAAACCGAAAGTCGCGAAATGCAAACGGAGCGGAAACGCGCGACAAAAAGTTTTGTCGCCGGTGAAGTAGCGACAAAAAAAATGATCGCACAGTGCAAAAGATTTTTCGAAACGACGATGCGGCTTCGAAAGTCAAAATTGCACTGTGCGAAAGCGGCGACATAATTTTTTGTCGCAAAGCGATCAAAAACTGCACTGTGCGAAACCAAAAAATGAAGATTTCGTTGCACTGTGCAAAACGGAAATTTTTTGAGAATAACACTGCACTGTGCGGAAAACGAAAATTTTTGTTTTCCGCAAAGTGCAATTTGGGAAAAAAATAATTTTCTGATTGCACAGTGCGAAAAAAAATTATAATCGAATTCTCGCACAGTGCAGTCAAAAAAAATTTTTTTCTGCACGGTGCAATGAAAAAATTGGGTAAAAAAGTACCTGCATGTAATCGTAGATGCCTGAGGCGATTGTAAATGGAGCACAGACCAAAATCGTTTGGATTACAAACTAAAATACGGTATTTTTTTAAAGCAAAATTAAAAAAAATTTTTTGAAAAAATTCGTACTTTATTTTTGGTCTTGCTTCTTTTGGCTTTCCCCCTCAAAATGTACAAACAAAGCCATACATATAACAGCGACATGATAATAATAACCGCCACATTGTTCACAACATGGGTGTAATTCACAAAATGATGACGTTTCTCGATGGGCGCCCCCAAAAATGGATCGTAAAATCCGGCGGCATAGCGACTGTGGTAGAAGATGGGGGTCTCAAACCAAGCCACGAGAAAAATGTAGAGGAAAGCGAGAGAAATCCAGATCCAGGTCCGCCAACCGTCAAACAAAAGCTCGTGAATGTCGCGATAGTAGATGTCAAGACACCGATTTACTGCCAGGATGACGCAGAGAAGACAGCTGCCACACCAGGAAGCTGTAAAGTGTCGGTTTTTCGATTTATTATAAATTCTTGACGCTTGAGGGTAATAAAGACAACATTGCACAGTGCAATGACTTTTTGATTATTTTACGGTGTGATACAGTAAGAATGAAATTCAAAAATGTTAGGGTAGAGTCTCACATACTCGGAAACAAAATAATCAACCATCTTTTGTTTCCTCCTCGCACTGTGCAATCGCTTTTGTTCAGTTTCAAAAATTGCACAGTGCATCAAATTTTGGTTTGTTTAATAGTGTGATATAGTAAAAAAGAAAGGCAAAAATGGTAAATTAGAGTGTCACATACCCTGAAACAGAACAGTGAGTCATTTTTTACCTTGTTTGCACAGTGCAATTGCTTTTCGGTCAGTTTAAAAAATTGCACAGTGCAACGAATTTTTGATTATTTTACGGAGTGATACAGTAAGAAAAAAGATTCAAAAATAGTACACTGACATGTTGGTCACCTTAAAACATAACAGTGAGTCATTTTTTTAATTTTATTTGCACTGTGAAATCGCTTTTCGGTCCATTTCAAAACTGCACAGTGCAACGAATTTTTGACTACTTTATGCTTTGATACAGTAAAATAAAATAATCAAACATGGCAAATTAGGATCTCACGTACTCTGAAACAAAATAATGAACCATCTTTTACCTCTCTCTTGCACTGTGCAGTCATTTTTTCATTTTTTAAAACTTTTTCTTTTCATTGCAGAGTCCCGAAAAATGGTAATTGTAAGAAAATTCATAAATATGTAATGTAAAATACGAACTGTCCAATTTGGTGAATAATTTTTTTCCAATTTAAAAAATATTTTATTTTTAAAAACGTTCCCTTACCCACTCCAGTGACTCCAATAAAATAAGTCAGCCGAGGCATTGTGCAGAACACCCCGCCTTCAAAGGTAACATAACCACATAATCCGACGGCAATGATGATAGTCCACGCATCTATAAACCCCAAACAAAACATTATTTTGTAACAGGAGAGGTGAAAGAATCTTTTTTTGGTCATTATCGCGACAAATGGCATGTAAATTATCTGAAAAATAATTTTAAAAATCATATTTTTTGCTTTTTGCACTGTGCAATACTCAAAAGTTTTTGTGCACAGTGCAGCGGCGATAAATCTGTCGCAACCGCACTGTGCAAGAAGTGCAAAAGACTTGAGATTGCACAGTGCAAAAAAGGAAAATCATGTTATTGCACAGTGCGAAAAAACCATTTTGCGGCATTGCACTGTGCGGTTGTCCAGAGCGACAAAGTTGAAAGATGCACAGTGCAAGTCGTCAGCTTTGAGTCGCACAGTGCGAAAAAATTGACTTTCGTCTGCACCGTGCAAATTTTAGCCATCTTTTGTCGCACCCGCACTGTGCAAAAGACTTGAGGTTGCACAGTGCAAAAAAAAAACAAAACTCAACTTGTTGCACGGTGCGAAAAAACCATTTGACATGATTGCACTGTGCGGCCGTCCGGTGCGACAAGGAAGTAATTCTTGGTTTGCACAGTGCATAATGTGCAAAACCAGAAATAATTTGCACGGTGCGAAAAAAAATTCAAAATTAAATAAAAAATTTCGCACTCACAGCAAAAGCACCGCCGAGGACGCCCAGAAATATCGCCAAACAAGGCCTTCGGAGCCCAACTTGTTGCCATTCCTCCTGCGTGAGTTGTGAGCAATTGTAAAGGTCCGCGTAGACATCTGGCTGGAAGAAATACACCTCCATTCCTGAATTTTCGCGACCTTAAAATGAGAGAAATGCAATCCAAAAGAACTGTTTATAAAGTATTATAACTTATTCAGAAGTCCGACAACACGCACTGTGCTAAAACAAAAGTTAGCTTTGCACAGTGCAATTTTATGACTTTTGCACCGTGCAAGAATGACTTCAGTCCGCCGACATGCACTGTGCAAAAAAGTTTTCAGACCCCGCGACATGCACTATGCGAAAAAAGTTCACTTTGCACTGAGCAATGGCTTTTTTGTGCTTATCTTTCCCGCACAGTGCAAACGGAGCAACTACAAGAACCACTTGATCACGTGTTTTCTGGATGTTCCTAGGGCAGAATTTTATGGTGATTTACATATGTAAATATCAGCTGTGACCTTCTTGGGGCAAAAATTTTACGGTCGCTTTTGTGTGGCCGACGTGCTTCGTTTTTCTCAATTTTGATGTCTAAAACAATGTCCAAATGCAATATTCAACAGACAAAAATAGATTCAAGAAATTTTTTACTTCGTATTTTACCCAAACCCCTCCAAAATCGGACCAAAAGCAGATTCGATCAGGATGAGATTCGAACTCACGCGGGGAAACCCCAATGGATTAGCAGTCCATCGCCTTAACCACTCGGCCACCTGATCACATGTTCTTTTTGTTCAAAAATGGCTATAAAAACCGTATTTTAGACGCAAAAATAGTGTAAAATTAATAAAAACTGGTAGAAATTGAAACAAGTTTGTCGAAGAATGACTCAAAAATTGTAGTAGACATCAATGGCCAATAAAATAATTCAATTTTTTGTTCATTTTCTCCGTTTTTTCGCTAATTTTATTTCATTCAAACATGAGAAAAAAGGATAAATAAAATTTTTGGGTTCAAAAAGACCTTACAGTAGGCAATTGTCACATGCATTGATGATTTTTTTTATTTTTTTTTTATTTTTTTTTTTTTTTGAAAGCTAAAGATTTCAAAATTTCACAGTGCAAAAACAAAAAAGAAAAGAGTAGTTGCGACAAAATTAACGCGATTTTTGCACAGTGCAGACGATGTTATTTAGCGCAGAAATGCACAGTGCGGTAAAATGAGAGAGAATTGGGACTTTGCACAGTGCAAAAAATTTTTTGAAAAGGATAATCGAAAGCACAACGGCTTTTTTCGCACCCAGCCGAATTTTTATCGCGCGACAACAACTCGTCGCGACGCCGAATTCATACGCCCGCCCAGTGTGAAAACATGTTCTTTTTGGCTCCCCTAGTACTCGGGATTGCCGAAAAATTTCCGGTGCACAGTGCGGCCCACGACAAAAAGTCTACGCACTTTTGAAAAAAACAAATATAAATTTATTAAAAAAAAGAGTTCACTGTTTTGATGACGCAATGCGTTATTTAATAAATTTTAAGAAAGGCAATGATTTTTGGGCGAAAAATTTTTAAAATGGAAAAATTTTTTAAAAAATACTTTTGACATTTACAAGATGTCATTGAAAATGTCAAACAAGAAAACTTTAAAATGGCGCACACGTTATCAAATATGGCTACAAAACACCGGGCTAAGCTCCAAACAAGCAAACTTTTTGGTCTTTCATGGATAATGAGATATTTGCACGCCTTGAAAAAACAATTTTGTGGGTATTTACGTATATTATTACACAAAATTTTTGGAAAAACAAAAAAAATTTAAAGATTAAAAAAAATTTTTTTTTATAAAAGTTTTTTTGATGTGTAGAACGCTATAAATAATATAAACACCTCTCAAAAAATTTTATACACGCTTATTGAATCGTATTTTACCCCAATTCCCTTCAAAATCGGACCAAAAACGGATTCGATCAGGATGAGATTCGAACTCACGCGGGGAAACCCCAATGGATTAGCAGTCCATCGCCTTAACCACTCGGCCACCTGATCACGGGAGGCATGCCGCCGAAAACAGAGAGAAGAGCGCTCGAGAGCGGGGCTTTTTTGTATTTTCTCTGGAGAACGAAGATGTGCGCCCTTCTTTCTCACATTCGAAAGCGTTCCGGTGGGGTTTTTTTGGTCGCTATGGCCTTGGAATGGAAGAAAGAATAGAAATTGTTTATTTTGGGGATAAAAATTTGACGAAAATAAAACGCACCGTGCAAAATTTTATTTTCGATTTGATCGCACTGTGCAAAAAACAGTTTTGTTTTTCATGCACTGTGCAAAACGAAACTTTTCTTTTGTCGCAAAGCTTTTTTCGTTGCACAGTGCGGAAAAGTTATTTTCGCACCGTGCAAAAAAAATAAAACTTTTCGCACTGTGCAAACTCTTTTATAGTTTTCACAGTGCGTTTGTCCCAAAAGCTGAAAAAAAGTTGGAGCACAATAAAATTTACTCGAATTGTCAATAAATACCACAAATAAAAATAAATATCACCAGTAAAAAAATGGTCATCACAGTTTTTCTTCGTCTGGCTGCAAGAACGGGGGAATTGGAGATCCATATTTTTCAAATACCTAAAATACGAATAAAAATTATTATGAAAAACAACAAAATTGGTTACCTGTCTAATCTGAGGGCTTCGCACTTTATCGTCTCGGTAATTATAGAAGAAAGTGAGATGCCCTTTATTGCCCAGACGTCCAATTCGACCAACTCTCTGGTTGAACGTCTTTCTGAAATTGAAAACAAATTAAAATACGTAGGATGTAACTTCCTTATACGAAAAATATCACTCTTTGAGCAAAAAAATCGAGTTTTCTACCAAAATTTCGCAAAAATTTGACTTTTTTAAATCTTAAAGCCTCGTATTTTAGCCAATTTCGGAAAGTATGCTCTGAAAACTTTATAGTAGCCTTAGAAGGTCCTATTTTTTGCATACCCCAAATATTAAAAGAAACCTAAACACTTTTTGAAATTACATTTGAGTCCCACCACGAAAACCTGAATCGGTCCAAATCTTGCCAAAAATTCGGTATCATGCAATTTGCGATCCTTCTGAAGCTCTCAAATGGTTGGAAACCTGTTGTATTCTGTATTTCACCACATTTTTTGACTTTTAGGACCCACCACGAAAACCTGAATTTTCTAAAATCCTTTATAAATCTCATTTTTATCAATTATGGGGACAATAGCTGTATTCTAAATCTATTAAGAACATTTTTATTGCCTTATTTGGATATTTTTTTACATTTCCGGGTCTCACCACGAAAACCTGAATTTTCTAAAATCCCTTATAAACCCCATTTTTGTGAACTTTGGGGACCGTAGTTGCTTTCTAAATCTGCTAAAACTATTTTGATTGCCTTACTTTCGGTATTTTTTTACATTTCCGGGTCCCACCACGAAAACCTGAATTCTCCCAGAACCGCTGGGAACCAACGCAAATCCCTCCAAATCAACCCAAACTGCTCTCCAAACTTACTGAAAGTCCTCTGTCCTTGGCAACTCATACAAAATCACACGATCCAAGTCGGGGAAATTCATTCCGGCCGAGATGACGTCAGTGCTCACCAAAACATCCAAAGTCCCGTCTTGAAAGTCCGTCAAAGCCGTCTGTCTTTCTTTTTGGGTCAATTCAGAGTGCAAGGCACCAGCTTGGACGTTGTTGCCTCTCAGGGCATAGCAAATTCTCCTCGCTTGGACCGTTGTATTGACAAAAATCAAGATTTTTTGGGGGATATTGCGTTTTTCTTCCATAAATTCGAGTACAAATCGGAGAAAAACCAAGAATCTGTGGTCAGGCTGCTTCTGAAATAAAAATTAGCGTTTTTACATCACAGAAACTTTGAAAATTTGAGATTTTTTGCTTAAAAAGCCAAATTTTTGGAAAAAATCAATTTTTTTCCCGGAAAAATAACTTACAACTTCGATGGCTTCACAGATAACGCCTTTCAGGGCTTTTGGGACCACGTGGATTGCAATATGATCAGATCGGATCAGTTGTTTGCACAGTGCGACCTTTTTCAGATCCAATTCGGCGCCGACCAAAATCGTTTGCAAAAATTCGGAATTTTCGGAGTGTTTAAGCTGAAAATTATAAATTAAATTTTTTGTATCATCTAGAAGTCATATACCGTCAGTTAGAGTTCACATGAACGGCTAAAAATTGGATAAAAAATTTCGATTTTGGGTCCCACCGCGAAAATTTCTAAATTAGAAATGGCTTCGGTAAATTAGGAAAATTATCAGAAACATAATTCTAGGTCTTGGAAAAATACTACTACACCAGAATTGTAAAAAAATCGAATTTAAAATAACAACTTTTGGTCCCACCACGAAAACCCTGAAGATCAGGAAACCCTCGTAAAAGCTTCAAAAACCCCCAAACCCATTAAAAAAATGCTCCCTCATACAAGAGCATCAAAAAATCGGCCAAACGCATTGTATTCGCCCACATTTTTATCTCCATCCGGTATAAAACACTGCGCTTCGTCAAGTACCAAATATTTCAGGTTCCGAAAATCGAGACGAATCGAACTCGGAGTGCTTCCGGAAGAAAAATAATGTTTCAGTCGTCCCAGCGTCAGGAATGTGATATCACAGCCATCGGCGACGGATGCGGAGGAGTTCTTCATTTCCTGTTGGCCAAATCCAACGGCACAGCGAATGTTGGAGGAGTAGCCTGAAAATAAATACAAAATTTGTTGCTTTGAGACAGTTTTTGGTCAAAATATCTGGCTTTCCAATTTTTACACCGCAATTTTTAAGGAAAATTGAAATTTTTATCACTAAATTTTCCGCACAGTGCAAACGAAAAAAATCAGGTTTTACTGCACTGTGCAGACCCGGAATAATTTTTTTTTCCGCCTAGTGGGAAAAAAGATCCCATTTTTAATCTACACTGTAAAATTTACTTCGAAATTTCAAATGCACATCGCAATTTCGCGCAAATTTTTTACACTGCACTGTGCAAAAAAAAGTATTCAAAAATTCCCGCACAGTGCAATCAAAAAATCCTTTCAATTTTATTTCGCTGTGCCGGAAATACCCCAAATAAGATGATTTTTTTGGTATAGTGTACCAAAAAATCCAATTTTCAATGCACTGTGCAATTATTTCCAATGATTTCTACTGCACAGTGCAGAAAAAATTTCTCCATTTTTTGACTGCACAGTGCAACGAAAAAAGTTTTCAATTCTGCCGCACAGTGCGCAGCGATTTTCTTGCTCTTGCACAGTGCAAAAATCGCATCAAATTTTATTGCACCGTGCAATTTCTCCATTTTTTGACTGCACAGTGCAACGAAAAAAGTTTTCAATTCGATCGCACAGTGCGCAGTGATTTTCTTGCCCTAGCACCGTGCAAAAATCGCATCAAATTTTATTGCACCGTGCAATTTTGTAACATTTTGTTTTGTGCACAGTGCAACTGACCTGTCAAATAACTTTTGGTCTCTTGGTAGAGTTGCGAAACCAATTCTCTTGTCGGCGCGACAACCACAGCATACGGCGCTACTTTATTTATAAGTTTGGAGTTCTCCTGTTCCTTGATCCGCTGGATTTGGTCAATAATTGGGATCAGATAGGCAAAAGTCTTCCCGGAACCGGCTGGGGCTTTGATAATGAAATCACTCGAGGGAAATTTTGAGATAAAAGGCTGGGCAACACGTTGAACAGGTAAAAAATCGTTGAATCCAAGGTGATCCAGGGCTTTTTGGGCCCTTTTCGACGGCAAAAACTCTGATTTATACCTAAAAATAGGTAGTTTTGATAAAAACTAAAGGAAGAAGAAATTTTCCAGGCCCTAAAATATTCAAAAATCAAAGACAGCTTCATAAACAACCTACTCAAAGTTTTTGGCATCCAACTTTGTCGACACAACGGTCACCTGAACCGATTCATCATCTTCACCTTGAGCAACTGGTCGGATGAAATTACTGGTCCCTGGAAGATTCCCACTGACTTTAAAATTGCACGTCCCGTGATTTCCTCGCTCCTTGGACCTCCCGTGACTATCTTGACACGAGAAGGAGTCGTTTTTCGAAGATCTAAAAATTATATTATACTAGGCATAAAAACAGACAAAACTAGGTTTAAACACGGGAAAATTAAAGCCAAAAACTGTGATAAGTTATAGCGATACTCTTGAGAACAAAAGAGAAACAAAAAATTGATAAAACTCACTTTTGATTGCTGATTTTTACGTCTTCCACTAGATCGTCAAGGTCCGAGATGTCGCACATCGAATGGACGAGATAACTGGAACAAATTGGATTATTATTAACCCTGTTACACTCAATTCATTTCGTATTTTACTTTACTTTATCATTTTTAGCGTTTTTCCGACAATAAACAGAATGCCAAGGTATTTTGGCATTGAATGTTTTCGCGACGGGAGCCAAACTAATTCAAATTTTAGTGCAAAATAAGACAAGTATTTGAGATGACGATAGGTCTACTGTTATTTTACGACTCATTTGTTATTTTCAGTCCACAAAAATCCGAATTAAACGCATTTTTTGGATTAAAAAACTTTATTGTACGGTTTATTAACTAAATGTTATAAAATTGGTTATTATTAATAATAATGAGTATATCTGAAGAGGATTTTATCCGAATGGGTTTGTAGACTGCTTGATACAACATCTACTCCATGGTTAGACAAAGTATGAATTCAAAATTCGGCCGTTTCGGACAAACCATCTAATTAATTAGCTAAAAAGATAAAAAATTCTCAAAATTCTACTGTACAGCTGTTGAAAATATGATGCAGACAAATTATATAGAGCACAGAGGGCTAGATACAACTTTTTCGAGTTAGAAAACATTGAAAAAATATGAAATTTCGGAAATCCGGAGGCCAATGGGTAGTATAACATCCGAGGTGAAAAGCCAGCGTTCTGGACGTCTTCCCAGCTTGATATTCGAACACAACGTAGATTATGAGTTGCTTTTCATCCTCCAAAAGTTTCATTCGGCCATTGGAACATCCAAGGTTGGTATGATCAAAATTATTTTGGTTATTCCTAAACGATTAAAATATTTTTTTCGCTGCGTTTGGTTCCCGATGGATGGAGATCGGAGAAAATTCAGTTGGTTAAATTCAAAACGATTGACGTCAGGGTGGTGTGTGTGTTGATTGGAGTTCATTTTTTATTGGAGAAAGTCGGGGATCTCGATTTTGTTACTCTGAGCTTGCAGGACCTAAAAGAATATCGTAAAATCTCATTTCCAGTGTAAATTTAGAGCCTATTTGATAGTGCAAAACTAACCAACCTCTCTCAGGAAAGCTTTGTGTTGGTGGTCTTCCGATGGGACATAGAAATGGTATACTTTTCCTTCATTTCCCATTCTGCCAACCCGGCCGACTCGATTGTTGAAATTGTCCCTGAAAATAAAAGTTATTACTATTATTCCAGCAATTTCCAGAGCCCCTACGGCTTCTTCTATCTCTTCCAACATTAATTTTTCCATAAAACCAACCATCCTCAAATTTACGACCTTATCCATGACATCAGATGTCAAGTCCAAAATCTCCATCTAAACCGCCTTCTTTCCGCTCCAAATTCCGAGTGCTTACCTGTTGGGGATCCCATAGTTGATTGTGATGGCCAGATCCAATATATTCAATCCTTTGGAGCCGATATCAGTGGCCACCATTATATCATACTCGCCAGCATTGAAGCGGTCCAAGGCCTTCTTCCGCTCGACTTGAGTGTGGTCTGAGGACAATCCCAGCGCCGAGAAACGTTGCGTGTTCAGCGCGTAGAGGACCCGTGTGCAATCTCTGACCGTGTTCACAAAAACGATCGTTTTTTCCGTCACAAAGTGGCCGTCTTCTACCTTTCCGTGTTTGGTGAGGATTTCAATCAGCTTTGCGATTTTCTTCACCGGGTCATCCTGAAAGCAGCAAGATTAGTAAGATATTAGGATACATATCACAGCTATTTTATACGGCTCACTTTCAGCAAATCTAAATGGATTTTAGTAAATTGCATGGTGCAGATGAAAAATTACTGTACCACTCGATGGGGATGGTAAAACCTCATTGTTAAAAGTTATTGGAAGACTGTACAAACCCTCTTAAACCTAGTACAAAAAAAAATTTTCCACGTTTGACAACCTTCCGCACAGTGCAATCGAATTCTTCGATTGCACTGTGCGGATTATAAAATCTTGCACTGTGCGAAATCTAATGTAAAAGTTTAAAATTAAAGCTATTCCCAGTACTAACAGCATCTTAAAACACATGATCATTCAGTATTTTTCACAAATCAGCCCCTCCTCCAAGCACTACGATCAAAAATCCCCATTGCACTGTGCAAACCCCGAAAATTTTCCGCACAGTGCAAAAAAACGCCAAAAACTGAAAAATAACAAAGAAAATTCAAAACTTACAATCCGGATAATCTCATTGTGGAGCGTCTCCGCAGGGAGATCACAATTGCCCACTTGAATTCCAATATAATCACTTCGGACATAGGCACTGAACAATTCGTAGCTATGAATGTTAATATTGGCTCCGACCAAGATGGACTGGATATACTTGCTGCTGAGGTTGTGTTTTTCACGATCCTTGACCTCAAATAACAAATCATTCAGTAAAAACATCAAAAATTCCCAAAAAAATTTTTTTCATATTTCACCCTCAAGTTTTATAAAATCGACGTCAAATTCAAATTCCATATAAAATTTTACTCTAGAACAAATTCACCCGCCAAAAATAATATTTTTCAGCAACTATAACAAAAAATTTTCCCCAAAAAATCTCAAAACTCACCATTCTCGAGAAGAATTCTTTCAATTCCATGCGAGCCTCGTAATCCGCCCCAGAAGTGTAGAAATCGTTGCCCTCGTCCATGACAAAGTACTTCAGATTCTGGAAGCCGAGTTTTATCACTGACTCCTTGTTGTTGATAAAGTGGTGGATCAATCGGCCGTGGGTGACGAAGAGGATGTCGCAGCCGCTCTCGATCTCAGCTTGCGCCGACTTCATGTGCTGTTTGCCCACCGAGAAGGCGCATTTCACTCTGGATCCATAGGCTGAAAGAAAAAGGAAATTAATTTTCGCACGGTGCAACTGATTATTTTCTGCAGTGTGCAGAAAAAAATTTTCGATTTGCACTGTGCAGACAAATCAAATTTTATTTTTTCACCGTTTTTTGGCTGCACTGTGACACCAAAAATAAACTTTTATTTGCACTGTGCAAACAAATAAAATTTTATTTTGCACCGTGCAATCATTTTTTTTTCCGAAAATTTCTGTCTGCACTGTGCAGACAAAATTTTTTTTATTTTGCACTGTGCAGGCAAGTAAAAATTTGTTTGCACGGTGCAATCAATTTTCCCGCCGATTTCTGTCTGCACTGTGCAGAGAAAATCAAGTTGTCGCATTTTTTGGAAGAACCATTTCATCGACTGCACTGTGCAAAAAATATTGAAAACTTGTTTCGCACTGTGCGACTAATCCATTTCCGCCGATTGCACAGTGCATGAAAGTGCCAACTGCACTGTGCAATCAAAACCGCGCAACAAAAAACAAACTGCACTGTGCAAATCGACTTCGTCTTTTATTGCACAGTGCAATCGAGTTAGAAATTAAAAACGCACCGTGCAGTCGACAAAAAAAGTTGATACTGCACAGTGCAAACGACAAAAATCGCTCCGAAAAGGCCCAAATTGCTGCAAAAAACCTAAACACAAAACAAAAAAATCAAAAATAACTTACCATTGACATAACTCTTTGTGTTTTCATACAATTGCATGGCCAATTCCCTAGTCGGGGCTAACACAACAGCGTAGGGGTCGGTTTTGTTGATCAAATGAGGCGAAACATACTGCTTTCTCTCGTAAACCTCGTCGACAATCGGGACCATGAAGGCCCAGGTCTTGCCGTAGCCCATGGGGCTTCTGATCACGAAGTCCGAGTCGGTGAATCGCTTGATAAACGGGATGGCGATCTGTTGAATGGGTGTGATCTCGTCGAAGCCTAAGGCACCGAAGGCGCCACCGGCCTTTTGCGACATCTTGAACTGCGTGTAATCGAAGCTTTGGACCTCGGGATTGCGCGAGAAAATCTCGATTTGTTCCGTTTGTTTCTGCGCCAGCCGATGGTAATGCCCGCCGGGCCGGATGAAGCGTTGTGTTCCGGCGAGTTCGCCGGACATTCGGTCGGGTCCGCGGCCATTTTGACGGCGTCTCTGGCGATTCGGAAGCACTTCTTGATGGGTTGCGGCGGAATTTGGGCTAAAAATGGGATTTTTAGAGGAGGTAAGGGCGGAAAGGAAGAGTAAAATGGACGTTGGCAAGTTTCTATGTCCATGTCAAAGCGATTTTTCGTTATTTTATACCTAATCACACCCAAAAAATACTATTTTAGGCAAGAAAATCTGTTTTTTTTTTGGCCAACAAGCCAAATTTTCATCACAAAATTTGCCAGAAATTGCTTTTTTGAACAATAAAACTGCTTTTATTTTTTCTATCTAAAATTAGCTTATTTTAGCACAAAAAGGGTCTAAAATCAAATTTTTGCATTCTAAAAACGGCAATTTTGTAGACGACCCTCGTATTTCAGAAGATTGTTACCTAAAATAAGAAAAACAAAAAAAACTTTAAAACTGACCTTAGATTTCTCGGACTGTCCGTCATATTTCCGAACTCATCTGTGACATATCCTTGATCATATGGGTTGTTGGGCCGGGGGACTAAAATTAAAACAACACAAATTCCATCAAATGTTCTACCTACCCATTATGTGCAGGGCTGGGAAATGGTGGGCTAATTCTGAAAAAATGAGGAAATTAGAGAAAATGAAATTTCATGGTGAAGATGAGGAGCACGTATTTTACCAAAAATATCCTTGCATTTTAAAAAACAAGACGAAAAAGTTCAATATTTTGAGATTTTTTGCCTGCACAGTGCAAGAAATGGAAAAAAATATAATTTTTTGTATTTTCCATTGCACTGTGCGAAACAAAGGAAATCAGTCTTCTGCACTGTGCAAAAGCAAGAAAAAAAGTCAAGTCGCTGCACAGTGCAATGCAAAAAGTCAAGTCGCTGCACAGTGAAATTCAAAAAATAAATTAATTCCCCGCACAGTGCAACGCAAAAATTGAATCTGTCGCACAGTGCAACAGAGAAACAAAAAAATCGCACAGTGCAAAACGACGCGCGACAGAAAGCAGAAAAACTGTTTCTGTGCCTGCACCGTGCAATAAATTCGAAGCTTCGAGAAGTTTCGAAAGCGCCGGACTTCTTTGCACGGTGCAGTGAATTTTTTGACTCACTTTTTCGCACAGTGCAGTTGAAATAAATTTCACTACACAGTGCGAAAATTAAAAAGTGCGAAAATCGCCATATCGCTTTGTGCAAAATTTTTTTAGCTCCAAAACAATACCTTTTATCCTCTAATCACTCTGTTTACGCTCCCTCCAAGCTTTCTAAAAGCAAAAATATCGAAAAATCTCAAATTCTTACTTTTTCAGATATCAAAGATGATATCAAGTGGTTCAGATCAGACATTTATAGCGAAATTAAAGTCCCCACAAAGGAGGAAGGAATTTCAAAGCTGCGAAAAAACGAAAACTTCACGGTTTGCCCAAAACGACAAAAAAACGCCCGAAAAGACTTTTCTTGTTTTTTGCGAAAACCACTTTATACGATCAAAGTTTCAGAGAACTAACTGGGATGTTCACCTTGCAAGGCATTCTAAGCGTTACTGAAGATTGTGATTGATATAATTAGCATAAAGAAACACAATATTATCATCCGGTACTAGAAATGTCTTGTTAATAGACAAATATTATCTTGGCCAATGGAGTAACGAATAGGCCAAGTAGCCAACAACACAACTTTTTTGTGTAATTCTTGGGTTAAACTGGAATTTTTATTATATTTTTGCCTATTTTTATATTGTACATGCACCACGCTTTTTGGTTACACTCATCTACTTCGACTTGCACCCTATCAACACATTTTTCGCCATCTCTAGTTCATTTGGGAACTACCCTCGTTCCCTGTCAGTCCTACTGTGCTTAAAAAAATTTAAATATCACAATACTCAGTGCATCTGAAAAATCGGAAAAATTATTCTCCGTAATAAAATTAATATTATATTATGTAACAATAATATAACTACAATCATCATTCTTCAAATATTAAACCTGTGTGCCGCCCTTCCATAAAGATCATCATAATGGGACATTAAATCATTTTTCTACTACTACTACCAGTTTCCCGATGGTTTTGTCATCTTCACCATGATGACACTCTTTTTTCTGATTACCTTTCCACAGTTACCATATAAGTAATATTGCCTCAATGCTGTTTATCTTCTCACGCCAAAATCTTTAAAAGATCAGGACAGTATCGAACATTTTTGTCAATAATTTTTAAGGCATTATGTTTTTGATACCATATCTACGGGATTTTGGTCATGACAGAAGCTGTTAAAACCCACGGTACAGTAAAAAAATTGCATCTAGCAGTGTAGTTATTTGTTGTACAGCCCAGGAGAACCGTCACGACATCCCCTAGCCATCATGAAATTTTATTTGCAAAACTTATTGTACTCAAGGGGTGATGCTCTCAGTGGGGTCCAGAAAATCGAATTAAATTTTAGGGCTAGAATTCTGAAACTTTCCAGTATTTGACTCTAGTGTATCCCTCGTCTAACAGAATTAAAAAATTTCACAATGTTGTGTTGTACAGTATTTATAGAGTACTGTAAAATGCCTACTTTTTGCGATTTTTTCTTCCGTACACCCCTCACTCCGAACACATATGCCAGAAATCAATGGGTAGATGTGGAAAATGCAAGTCAGGTTTGATAAATGCTAGTGACACTCAGACCAGACCGGCTGTAACGGTTTTTTCGACGCAAAGTTGTTTTACACATCAATTTCCAAGTACTTTTTGGACCCTTCATTGGGGTCCAGAAAATGACCCTTCAAAATTCACCAAATTGCATGAAATTTTCAAGATATGCTGTTCTGATAGTCGTGTAACTAACAAAAATCAAACATCTTGAAAATCACCTCTAAGAAGCCATATATGACCCGCTAAAAAGCGCCTTAAAATTGCACATTTTCGAAAGCTCACGGCGAGTCAGAGTTTCGACATGGACGATGGGGAAACATTCAATACGACAGAAGAAGTGTGCAAGAATTCATTTTTACTCTTATTTTCTATCTTTCTGTTAGTCTTTGCTGTCTTTTACATTCAACTTTTACCCTATAATTCCGGAATTTTTCACGACTCGGGCGCAAAGTGCGAAGGGCTCGGGCGCTTTTTTGTCGTTTTTTGTTCTATGTGGGCAAACCGTGACTTGTGATTCCGCGAGAAAAAAACTCGAGGGGAACACTTGACCCAAATGGGTCAAGTCTTCCTCTAAATTTCTAACGGCAAAAAAGGGCACACAATCAGTTGAAATTTCAATTGGGAAGCGTTAAAAACAGGAGCAAAAGGTTAACTTTTCTGGTATAAATCAAGAAATCAAATAAAAAATCAAAAGTTGGACTGGGCTGTGTGGAAAAAGTGGTTTTTTGATAAGATAGGAAGGGCGAATTGGACTTTTTATCTAATCATCAGGTGGGAAAAGGCGAAATTGGAACGTGATGTAGAAAAAGTGGACGATAAAAAGATCAAAAAAAGTAAAGGGAAGTCATTTTTTAAAATTTCTCAAGAAAAAAGTATTAAAACTGCACTGTGCGGCGATTAGGAAGGCTCGAAAACTTTTGCACGGTGCAAGCAAACAAAAAAAATTTCGTTTGCACAGTGCAAGCACTAAAAAAATTAGATTGCACTGTGCGGACAAAAATCGAAGTCGCAGATTTTCGCACGGTGCAGTCGCCATTTTCTCATTTACCGTTGCACTGTGCAGCCAGGCCGTTTTGCTTTCTTTTGCACTGTGCATTAACCCAATACTGAGTAAAATCGGCACTGTGCGGCGCCCGTCAAGAAAAAATAAAAGAAAAACGGGCGCCCAATGAAAAAGCCTAGCATTTTTTTTGGCATTCTGCCCTGTGCAAATCCGTTTTTGTCCAAATGGTTTGCAATATTTTGACATAAAGATTAATAGTAAATCACAAGATATTGATACCAATAGAAAGCTCGAGAGCTGCTTAAGCTAATAGAACCAAAATATACCCATAATCGTAGTATTTTGACAGTTTTCCATGGCGAAGAATGCAACGTCTAAATAAAAGTTTGTATCGACGATACCGAGTCAGAGAGCACTGGAAGGAGGTATAGGCTCCACGTCAAAAAAATCCTTAAACTGTTCTTCGAGTATCTACACCGGTCCCGTCCCGCTTGATGGGACAGTTTTTTTGATAGTTTGCCTTGAAATTTGCACTATTTTTAGCCTAGCTCGAACCATGTTCAGAAAATGCGTCACGATGACACCCATTTAGAATGTACCAGCGGTACAAAAAACAGTTGTATACGACTAGTAGTACTCCCTAGAGTTCCCATTAAAAAAATTAGGTTAAAAATTGTTGTTATGTGCAATTTGGATGACAGGTTTTATGAATTTTTTTCGCTGTGAGAACCTTTGCAATGCCCGAAATTTCTTGACGTGCGGCGATTAGGCTACTCTGAAATTTTTGCACAGTGCACTTTTTTTATTTCATCTTGCACTGTGCAACCAATAAAAATTTTTTGTTTTTGTGTTTGCACTGTGCGATCAACAAAAAAATCGCAAATCTTCGCACAGTGCACTCACTCCCAATTTCTAAATTTCTATTGCACTGTGCAGAAAAGAATTTTTTGGTTGTTTGCACCGTGCGATCAACCAAAAAAATAAATAAAATTTGCACAATGAGGAAAAAATAAACAAGATAAAAAATCAACAAAAGATGCGAGCACAATAATTTTTATCGTCGTAACATATGTTTTATTATAATATGATCCGTATGAACGGTTTTTTGGCCTGACATCCAGGCATCTGCGCGGCAGACGCACCGACGATTCCTGTTGCGCGAAAGAGCAGATGGGAGATAATCTTGAGTAATCTATTTTACGGAGGGATTTGGAATGCGACATGATTAATAATCATTTTGAAAACTGTTGCTTTCATTTCAAAAAATGTGAACACATCGGAAAATCCGATGATTCCAAATGATCGGAAAGTCGTATTTTACAAATTTTTTTGTCTCCAAAATAAATAAAATATACATATTTTCACAAACTTTTTCCGCAAGTTTAACTTTGACATAAACATTTTTGAAATCGACAATTGACTGAAACAAAACCAGTTCGCTGTCAGAATAAGAAGGCGCGTTTAAAGACTGCGAGCAAAGGTATCTTAATTTTTGTAAAGGTGAGAAAAAAGGGTGGGGCTTACATTGTTAGATAAACAAGGCTATTCATAAAAAGATCAAGCCAAAACGAATTTTTTTTTAATTCGGAATTTTTGTATGAAAAAAATTATTGAACTTGACAATTTGCACGGTCTTTCATACTACTAGTCGCGGAAAAAAGTCCTGGGATTTTCTCGCGCCCCCCAAATTCCGTCGCGCCCCGAAAAGTTGATTTGTCGCGGGAATCGCGCGCGACAATAAGGCAAAATCAACAAAATTGCACTGTGCAAAAGCACTTTTCGGGTTCATGCACAGTGCAGAGTCGCAGAAAAATCCCAGGACTTTTTTCCGCGACTAGTATTACGCTTTTTCAAAAGTGCAGACACATTTTCCGGCCTTTTTTGCAACCGCACCGTGCATGTTGCGCGACGCGATGCTTTTCGAAACATCT